GCATGTGGCGTTTTGGGAACCGGTACCACACAGGGCGTCTTCAACAGAGTGGGGACCACCCCCAGGCTGAGGCTCAGGTTGTAGATCTAGCTGAGGACCTGACATACCTCATCTGCACAGGTCTTCAGCAGCCTTGGGGGGATGCCGTCTGGTCCTGAGGCTTTTCTTCTGTTTCAGCCTCATCAGCTGCCCTCTTACCTGCCTTGGTGTTACTGTGAGGGGGGAGGAAGGCCCGACTGAAGGTGTGAATGGATCGGGGGTTGGTGGGAGTGGTGGCGGTGGGGAGGGTAGGTCTCTGTGGGGCTGGGGGTTGGAGGGGTGTGGAGAGTTGAGGGCAGTGTGAGGGGAGTCAAACCGCGTGAAGAAGCTGTTTAACTCATCCGCAAACTTGGTGTCACCATCTGCAGCCCTGCTGGTTCTCTTACCAGTGGGGAACACCGTGGGCTTCCTTGCCAATAAAGGCACCAGAAACTGACAAACTAACACCTAAGAAAAAAAATCTATGTCAATTGGTTTTGTTGCATTTATATGTGGTATTTTTTGTGTGCGTTTTTTTTTTTTGGTTTAATTTTTTATGCTCCTCAGGTTTGCAGCGAGTTCTACCGTATAACTACCAAGGACCTGTTGGGGACATTCAGAAGCAGCCCTAGACACCCATTGTCCTCGACTATTAAAACTGTATCATGCCAGGAAAGGGTCTTTGGACAAGACATGGAGAGCCTCTTTGATTTTCTTGATGCACCGCTGTAATAACCAGAACCTTATTTAAGAGTCAACTTTGACTTACATTTGTTTTTTGTAATTATTTAAATATCTTATTATAAGCCATCTTATAGTAGTGACAAATAAATCTTAGCCTTATTGCTTTTTCACCAAATTTCCTATGTTTTTCTCTTTTCCAATTTCTAGACATGTGACATCACAATGCATTGAAATAGAATATGTCTAGAAGGTCTACCTCTTTTTCTCGGTGACACTTCAGAGAAGCTTTTCCTGCAATGCCTTGTGAGTTCAAAATAACTATTTGTCTGTTTTTACATCACTTCCTGAAGGGACAGACTTGTATGCTAACATACAGAATATCCTTTTACACATACACAAATTTTGAATTACACCCTGAGGTGGCTGTTTAAAAGTATCTTTACAGTGTGTACATTAAATTTGGCAGAATTTCTGCTTTTAACAAGACACCGTTCCAGAGGACACACAAACTAAAGGGGTTCAAATGGGAGTGCCCCCCATATTTGTGGGTGATGGTGCACAGGCCTCACATCAAATTGTTAGACTTACACTTTGACAACTTTACTGTCATTTTGTGTGTACAGAGTGCACACAAAACGAAATTTCGTTGCATACAGCTTAAGACAGGATTAAACTTAAAACAGGATTCAATAATTTAGCAGACTGATGGCTACAGGGAAAAAGCTGTTGTATAGCCTGGTGGACCTGCAGCAGATGCTGCGGCACCTCTTCCCGGAGGGCAACAGGGAGAATACATCATGGTGGGGGTGTGAGGCGTCTCCGATGATTTTACGGGCTCGGGACACGCAGCGCTGGGGTGAGATATCCTCAATGGATATCCTCTGCTGTCCTCACCACTCTCCTCACGTTCCTCCAGTCGAAGGCACTGCAGCCTCCACACCAAACAGAGAGACAGCTGGTCAGAATGCTCTCTATGGTGCATTGGTAGAAGGTATTGAGGATGGGCAGGGGCAGGTGGGCCCTCTTCATCCTTCTCAGGAAGTACAGGCGCTTCTGTGCCCTCTTACCAGTGATGTGGTGTTCACAGATCAGGTGAGGTTGTCCGTGATGTGCACCTCTAGGAATTTCGTGCTGCTGACCACCTACACAGCTGAGCTGTTGATGAGCAGTGGAGCATGACGAGGCCGGTACTTCCTGAAGTCAACGATGATCTCCTTCGTCTTCTCCACGTTCAGTATCAGGCTGTTGTCTCTGCACCAGCCCACCAGCTGCTCCACCTCATCGCTGTAGTCCCGGTCGTTGTCGTCTTTGATCAGGCCCACCACCGTTGTGTCGTCTGCAAACTTCACAATGTGATTGGTGGTGAACCTGGGGACGCAGTCATGTCATCAGGGTGAACAGCAGGGGACTCAGGACACAGACCTGAAGGGAGCCAATGCTGAGGGTGATGACATCAGAGTTTTTTTGGCCGACCTGGACTAACTGAGGTCTGTTGGTGAGGAAGTCTAGCAGCCAGTTGAGAAGAGGTGTGCCAAAGCCCAGGTGTACCAGCTTTTCTACCAGATGCTGTGGGATGATGGTGTTGAACGCTGAACTGAAGTCCAGGAACAGCATCCGCACGTGGGTGTTCTTTTCCTCCAAGTGTGTCAGGCTCAGGTGAAGAGCAGAGGAGATGGCGTCCTCAGTGGAGCGGTTTCGCCGGTAGGCAAACTGGAATGGGTCGAATGTTGGGGGGAGACTGGAGACGATGTGATCTTTTACACTCTTTGAGCACCCGCCCAGGTATGTTGTCGGGACCTGGGGCCTTCCACGGGTTGACTCTTATCAGAGTTTTCCACACGTCGGCTGTGTCAAGGCAGATAACCTCCTCTTCCTGATGGGGAACAGCCTTCATTGCTGGAGTGCCGTTTGGTGCCTCAAACCTCCCGAAGAAGTTATTTAGTCCATTGAGGAAGTCAACATCAAGGAGGGCGTGTTGTAATCAGTGATCTCCCGTATGCCTTGCCACATGCGTCTGGTGTTGCTGGCGTCGTGGATAAGATCCTGGATTTTGTTACTGTAGGTCCGCTTCGCTAACCTGATTGCACGGTTCAAGTTGACTCTTGCGGTTCTCAGCGTGCCTTGTCACCCGACTTGAAGGCTGAGTTCCGTGCTTTGAGCAGTTGGCGAACCTCCTCAGTCATCCAGGGTCGTTGGTTGGCTCGGGTGATGATTTTCTTTGTGGCGCTGACGTCCTCGATGCATGTGTTGATGTAGGCTGACAGTCATGGCATACTCATCAATGTTTATCATGTTGTCTTATGTTGCTGCAGCTTTGAACATGTCCCAGTCAGAGCACTCAAAACAGTCCTGGGGTGCCTCCATGGCCCCCTCAGTCCACACCCTCACATGCCTCACTGTAGGTTTAGCTCTGACCAGCAGGGGCCTGTATGCAGGAATTAGCATTACAGAGAGGTGGTCTGAAGAACCGAGGTGGGGGCGGGGGACTGCTCTGAATGCGTCTTTTATATTTGTGTAAAATAAGTCCAGAGTGTTCTCTCCTTGAGTTGCAAAATCCACGTGTTGGTAAAAATGAGGGAGTACAGTTTTCATATTGGCCTGGTTAAAGTCCCCAGCAATGATGAAAACACCCTCAGTGTGTGCAGATTTCAGCTTGGAGATGGTCTGATAGAAAACATTCATAGCCTCTTTTGTATTAGCGCTGGGAGGCACATAAACAGCAGTGATGCTCACAACATTAATCTCTCTTGGCAGATAGAAAGGTCTGCAGTTGATAGTCAATAATAGCTTCAGTCGCCGGTCATACCACGAGTCGTGGACCTCTTGGACTTGGGACCAAAGCAGTCCGAAGTCGCGTAAACAATCAAGAGTATAGTTACGAGTCCAAAAACACTACATGACTGTAACTCCAGCAGCCGTTTGTGGACAAGTACTGATCTACCGGGACAATGAGTAGTTTGTAGCGTGTTTTAAGGCATATTTTTATTTAAAAAATAATAATATGATAGAAAATAATAATAATTAAAAAAATTATTAGAAAATGCCGCACGTTGTCGGGAGCTGTATACAGCCGCAGCCTCTCAGGGCGCTTCCATGGTAACCAGCGATGAACAACAGTATTGCTGTGGAGTTGGAGGAGATTATTGTGCTTGAAGACATTTTAGCACTTCCCACTGCCTTTGCTTACCTGTTTGGCCTACTTTATGCATTGAACATAGAGTTCCCAAGACATCTCAGATACACATTTGAATCAGTGCAGCACATCTTCATGGAGCTTACACCCTCTTGTTCACAGCGTGTGCGGAGCCTGAAAACAAAGCTCTTGCTGTAAGAAGCCTGACAACAACTCATAGTCACAATTATTTACAGTAGATTTTATTTATTTATTTTTAGTTGGCTGGCTTTTGGGCCTGTGTTACAAACAAATAATTCATTCTTGTCAGGATTATTTTTCACAGCTCTAGATGGGCCTTTTATTCTTTTTTTTTAAAGAAAATAACTTTTTTCACTCATTTAGAAAATTTTCAACTTTAGGGGGGAAAAATAATGTCTAACATCTAGTAGTGTAACTAAGCTCAGTGTTGTTATCTTGTGGCTTTTGAAGTGTTGAAGTTTGGACTATTTTAAAAAGTTTCTTGGATTGTTTGAGGATCAGTCTTCATCTTGTTTGTTTTGGTGCTGTGTACTTGCACCTATATTGTTAAAGATTTCATTCTCCAGCATATTTACAGTATATATAATGGTTTAACTTAGCTCAGGATTGTTATAGTACTTTTGAACATTTTTGTGGTTTGGATTTTGGATTCTTAACACCAGTCTGCATCTTTTATTTGTGTGTAGACTACAGTACTTGCACTATTGGTATACACTAAGAGATTTAATCCTCTTTTATATTTGCTGGAGTGTTGTATTTAATGCTTAAATAAACATGTTATACTGAACCAGTGTTATTTAGGCATCATAGAAACGTTTTAGTTGCCATAACTGCAAACGTTAGAGGGTTTATAAGTACAACTTAAAACATGAATTTTGATGCATTTGAAACATAACTTACCTGAAACCAAAATAATTAGTTGAAACTGCTAAATGTTAAGTTTTTGAAAAACTCAAAATTTGAAGTGATCTCAAAATTAATTTATAGGTTATCTCAACAAAAGATGATTTGTTGCTGTAGTCTTTACTAAATGTCCTTTCTTGGCTCGTGACCATTTCTTCGTTTTGATGAATGCAAATAACTACCCGGTCTGATGGAAAGAACGAGTCTACGCGTGTTATGGTTTTAACGACGGTAGAAAACTGTGTGTTCACCCCGTCTTTACTGAAAATTCTAAATAGACAAAAAACGTCAGTTTACATTCGCCAAAAGCGCCATCTCCGAACGTTATCATTCTATTGGCTATTTAGTCAAGATCATTTTAAACATTAAAATAAATGCAGATTAAACTAAAATCAATTATAAACTAGCAAAGCAATAACTTAGTGAAACTGCAATCATAAATATTCTATGAAAACATAGAACCAAAATCATCCAAAAATAATAACTAAACATGAGTATAAATTACTCCATAGAAAATGGCAACAACAGTTGCAGGCCACCTCAACTAGCTCCTCTCCACGTGGAATCCATTCCAAACTCAGAAATAAGCAAACATTTTCAAGATTTTAAAAGGGGAAAACCTTAATAAAGGAGGGGAAAAACAAAACAAATCTTCACTCATTTCAACAAGAGTAAAAAAAATCACAAAAACCTAAAAGATTTTTAACACCAAATGACATTACATGTCAACAATTTGACACCTTGATCATATCGGATGAAACGTGGTATGAGTGAGACGCATACAGAGATAAATAATGATAACAAAAACAGCCTGTAGGCATTCTTACAATAATGACAGAGTATAGTACTATGTGGGATGTTATGTTAGTATTGTGCAGTGTGCTTTCATTTTCATGTCTACCCAATACTTTACAGCTATTGGGAAATATATAGTTAATTAGTTATTTTTATGTTATGGGTATCATTTCCTTTTATCAGCCTTTTTAGTCCAACACAATGTTTCTCAATGGGCAAAACAAGATGTGCTGTAACAGATACAAATAGCTGGAACTAACTAAAAAGGAGTCTGCTTGTATCTGAATATTTCCAGTAGTTTGCTTCTCCACTTTGATATGGACATTCATATATTTTGACTACAGGGAGAATGAAGACATGAGGAAATGCTGCGTCCTGCTTGTCATTACTTAGATTACAGACTGAAAATGTGAATTAAGACTCTTCTAAGTCTCTGTCATGTAAAAAGCACAGACATATGAAGAAAGAAAAATAAATACTTTTTTGAGGACTAAAAAAATGTAAATGGCTCTGCTCCCAGTCATTGGTAAAGGAAGTTTTCAAACAGTAGTTCAAGTCCTCAAAGAAATATGAATGCTACAAGCAACATCATGGATTTTGAAATATACTTTAGAAAAAGTCACTATCCATATCATTTTAAAATGTAATGATTTATTGCCTAATATGTCCCCTGTGACTTAAGGAATTTTTTTAAGAGATTAGAGTGACGCATTGTTTTCATTTACAGTTTGTTAAACCAGAGTTTATAATGAACTACTGCAACTGATGATAGTAGGTTCATCTACTCATTATTTTCTCAAAAAATCCCCTAATAGAAAGTAGAAATGCTGTATTCTTATGAACATTAGTTCTATTTAAATAATTTAGTAAGAACAAGTATATCTTCACACGTTTGAGGCCAGAATAAAATGTTAAATACAATACTTTACTTTCTGATGTCATGGAGCTAAGGTGCCTTCAGTCTTTGCTTAGATTTATCCTTTGACAGTCTCCATGTTTCACCGCTTTCAAGTGTTTGAAAGTAAAGAACGTTTTGGATTTATCTAGCGATCGCTTGAATAAAAGTATTTGAATGACCTGGATTTATCTTCCATGAGTGTTGCTTTAAATGAATCTCATTATTCGATTCTTGGAAAAGCACACTGTGAAACTGCCGGTAACCGAATAAAGAGTCCGGAAGAGTGAAATGCTTGAGTCAAGAGTCATTGAACACATTCTGAATCATTCTGTTTTATCAGCTCCATTCTGCTCCTGAAAGGTTTTTTTGTTGGTGTAGCTTGTATGGCTGCAATAAGAGAAATGGTTTGACAAAAAAAAAAAAAACTCAGAGCTGATCTGAGAGACACAATCTCTTTGGTCTAAACAGGATGGCGAGGAGTGACGGGTTGAAGAGAAGAGGGCTGAGAGAGGTGCCTTGTGTCCTCGCTGAGTCTTGGGGTGTCATCGATTGACGGGTGAATATCCAGAGGCTGGACAACTGAAAGTGAAGTTTGAAGGGACTGGCTAAATGTTTCCTCATACGTTGGAGGGGGCTAGAACAGAATAAGACAGAGGAAAAATTATAATCACCACCCAAAGATGCTGTCCACACTAAAAGTAACCTCCTGATTGTAATCTTAGAGATAATATAATGTAATAGTATACTTTATTTTCCCACAGTGGGGAAATTTACACGTTACAGCAGAAAAAAGGGAAAAAGCACACGCACAGTGGAGACATAAACATAGGTTATTTATGTCTTATGTCTAATGCAACAAAATAAATAAAGGTAATTTACAAAGGAGAGTTAATAAAATATAATAATATGATTATTGATTTTATATTAAATATTATTAAAATATTACAATGAGCACCAATTTACCAATTGACTAATTTACTAATTGACCACTGAAGCTAATGTCATGGATCAGACAGTGCAGGTGTTATATATCCTTAAAAATTAGGCTACCTAAAACTGTGTGTAAATATCTTATCTTAGTCTGTTTAGATGACAAAAAGAGACATTTATTTGCTGTTCTCATTATTGTGAGATGTTTCTTCAACTAAATAAAAAAAACAAGATAAATCTGATCATCGTAAACTTGATTTAGGACCAATTGCTAATTAATCTTCCAACATAGTTCGCTTGTTACCGACTAGCACCCTCGAAAAACAGATACAGAAAAAATTGTATTCAGAAAGTAATGAATGATCTTTACATAAAATGTTATTTTCACCACAATGGAAGTTTTAGAGCTGCAGTGTGTTAATTCTGCACGTGTCGGTAGAAACGCGACAATATATTCATTCAAGTTATTTCTATTGGTCTTGTACCTGGAAGTCTGTTTTACTTTAAGTAGCACACTACAAACCTTAAACTGGGTCTGAGCCTGTTGGAGTTTGTGTATTCTTTTATGGTAAAGTTCTCTGAGGAGAATATTAAACATGGCAGAAATATCCACTCTGTTGACATCTGGTAGATTTACAACATATGTCACTAAATCCAATCGAAAACAGTAACTTCTATAAAAACACACAACAAACTAACATTTTAGATAGATATTCTGTTCTGTGTTTGATTTGAAAGTTTTTAATTTGGTAGAACTCTATGTAAAGGTATTGAAAACAGAAGGCCTGTCATGAAATGTGGATTTCATGACAGGTGAACATGGAGATGAAGATGGTTAAGTATCCCCAGACAAATACATTTTTGTTAGCCAAATATTAGTCTGAAATATGTTGACTGGCATTTTACAATAACTTTTTCCACATCTGTACGCAGGCTAATACTTTCTTGACTCTGTCTGATAGTAGTGGCTCTCCTCAACTCAATCTGACTTTTTAAACTTGATTAATTTAAGGCGAGCCATGTATTTGGATGTGTAACTGCTGACCTCATTGTGGCAGCCGGCAAGGCCAAAGCGCTGAGCAATCATGCTGTGGATCTGCCTCTGCCTGTCCTTCTTCCTCACACTCTCGTAAGAAGGGAGCCGTGGCAGAGGACCATCCAAATGGTAGTCGCTGGGCTTCCCTATGATGTACACTGCTCCGGGATGCTAAAGTACCCACAAAAAGACAAACCAGCTCTCCGACAAGAACCCTTCAACTGATTGTACAAAGCAGCAATGCATTTACAAGTATTGTTTCTCAGCCACTTTGAATCTTTACACCACTTACATGTGGTCCAGCCATTGCCTGGTTCAAAGCAGCACTGCGTTCATTATGAGGAATGCCTATCAGAGATTGCCAGCTGTGATAGTGGGGTAGATCGTCCTGGGAGAGACCATAAAAAAGTTACAAAAAATATAATCATTTTAACTGTTGTCAATGCAATTGTTTCTGTATTTAAAAAGCCTTAATCTCAAATGTCATGGGGGATGATTTAGTCCATGTGGGGACAGAATTTTAAAAGGTACAAAAGTTAAACGTTAGGTAAGTTTAAAACAACATAAGATTCCATACAGATAACTTTTTTTCTGGAATGCATTTCAGCGAGAAGAATCTATACAGTGTCTATTAGAACACCATGACTTTGTAGGAAAAGATATCAGGGACTGGACTGTGTGATGTTCAAATTCAATTCAATTCAATTTTATATTGAAGCGACAAATCAAGACAAATGTATTCTATATGGAAAAATGATGTCATCAATAAAAATCCAATCCATTGTAATTCAATCATCTATCCATCCATTTTCCACCGCTTATCCGGGGTCGGGTCACGGGGGCAGCACCTGAAGCAGGGAAACCAAGACCTCCCTCTCCCCTTCCACTTCTGCCAGCTTCTCCGGGGGGTATCCAAAGGCATTCCCAGGCCAGCCGGGACATAGTCCCTCCAGCGTATCCTGGGTCTTTCTCTGGGCCTCCTCCTGGTGGGATGTGCCTGCAACACCTCACCAGGGAGGCAACCAGGTGGCATCCTAATCAGATCCCCCCCGGATGGCTGAGCTTCTCACCCTATCTTTAAGGGAGAGCCCAGCCACCCTGCAGAGGAAACTCATTTCGGCCGCTTGTATCCGGGATCTCGTTCTTTCGGTCACTACCCAAAGTTCGTGGCCATTAACAAGTGTGGGAACGTCGATCGACTGATAAATCGAGAGCTTTGCCTTTAAGCTCAGCTCTGTCTTCATCGTGACGAACCGGTATAGCGCCCGCATTACTGCTGACATCACACCGATCTAATGCTCCCTACCCCCATACGCGAACAAGACCCCGAGGTACTTGAACTCCTCCACTTGGGGAAGTGGAGGAGGGAATAGAGAGAGGCATATCATGTGAAGCAGCTTGAAGACACAGTAATAGAGGCAAAGCGAAAGTAGTTTCAACATATGCAGAGGAGGAATAGGTTATACTAAACAGGATATGGATAGGGCTGCCACCCGGGAGGTTAAGAGGAAGACCACCGAGAAGATTTATGGAGGGAGTGAAACACTCTATTAAATGATATTTTGATTATGTCACAGAAAGAGAAGACATGAAGGCAAATGCTTTCCTGTTTCAGACAGAAAAAGGCGTAGTCCAAAAAGAATAAGCAGAAGTGTTTATTTTAAAGTTGTGCTTCCAGAATTATTTTTTATTTCTGGGTTTCATATGATTTTTCCAAAAAATATTATCTAAGTCCACATGGTCATCCCTTCTTTTCGACCATTTATTTCTGGTCATTTTGATTTTTTTTTTCTATAGGATTTATGTGGCTCTTTTCACATTTCTGTATCGAAAGTAATCTGTCAGTGGACCGAGTGAGTCTGGATGAGTCTAATTTAGATTCTGCACAACTTGTTATTGTATAGTCAATCATTTTCTGTTTCTTTTGTACAATTTTTATATATTTAGTGTATTTTGGCTTACTGTTATATATAAATTCTTACTGTATAGTCGTGTGTCGTGTGAACTCTTAACCCGCAGCAGAGAGGATCTTTTCTGTAGAGGACCACCACCAGCATCAGAATCACAGTACAAAACGCTACACAGGACACTGCAATGGACACAAGTTGTACAGTATTACAGTCTCATTAGAAAAACAGTTAAAAAATAAACCAATCCTGTCTCTCTACACTGATCCTTTCTATCTCAGTGTTTTAGTCATCATTCAATCATTTTACACTCAGGTAATAAACACCTTGGACAGCTCATAAGACCATTAACTGAAACTGATTTGATGCATTCAAGCCATTTACAAACATTTGTCCTTTAGAAGCTGCCGGTCTATATGCTTTTTTTGTATTTTGATATGTCTCATATTTGCACAAAAACAACCACTAACTTTACAAATTTGAAAAGCCATTAAGGAAGGCACTGCCAAAAACTATTGCTAAAATAAATTAGTATTGTGATGCATTCTTAGCATTACAGATAGGTCATTTTATAAGTAATTCAATAGTGAGTTAGACTTATTAGTGTCTAAGAGTAATTGTTGTGAGCCAGATTTGAGCAAATTCATCCTGAAACTGATTGAAACAATATTTTCTTCTTTGTTTTTTCTATTACATACCTGAATGTCTAAACTATCTCCCATCCAAGAAGTCAAGTGGTTGTCCAGCTTGATATCACTTTGTCAAAACTCATAATGACTACATTTGAATTTTCTATGAAGAATAAAATGATCCAAGATCAAAACAGCTGAAACTGAGAACCAATTCAGCACACTTTTAAGCCATTAATCATAGTCATGGCGGAATTTGTAATTATTTTAGTATTTGTAAGGGTGAAAAGACACTTTTTTGCCACCTTGTTTAGAAATTACAGACATTAACAATTCCATACTTAATTATGTTATTATATTATATTATATTTCTAATGTGTTTTGTTCTAATCTATCAATAGGTCTACAATGAAAGTAACAAAATCCTCACCTGAAACCCAGATGACAGTCATTAGCTCCGGAGCCATAGCAGTTGGCGCACGATGGATTAAAAAAATCTGGACTTCAAACAAACTCCTTTTCCTACTCAATCAGTATTTTGCTCTGTACAACTTTTAAATGTTACACACACAATCCAGATTGGATGACCTTCTCTTGGACTTGAGCTGGACAGAATAAGTTGGCTGCTGTTTATTTTCCCCTACAATGTAGATGGAAGGTTATCCTGGATTTTACAGTAGGCAAATATTAACACCGTGTTTTGCCTGCCCTCATTCTTGGGGGGAGAAGGAAAAAAACAAAGGTACTGTAAGCTAAGTCTTTTGCAAACTCTAGTGGAGCTTCTTGGAAATGCATACAGAATCAGCTGCAGGGCCTTTCATGCAGCAAATAAGACAACATTACTGTAACTGGAATAACTGTAACTAAAAGTTATTACCTCATTGATAATCATGATCAATAGAAGATTCTGTCAGATCAAAATGTATATTTTTTTCTTTTTCAGCTTTTGGAACATGTTGATTATAACTCTGAATAGCAGCTTAAATAGATACTTCTCAGGTGAGGAAAAACAGACTACTAACAGTCTGTTTGTTCCATTAAAACAATACACAGAATTATGAACAAAACTGGTGTCAGCAGGTTTATGGTTAAAGCATTAGGTTTTCCAGCTTCCTCTCCAGTTTTCTTTTTGTCCTACTTTAACTTGTTTTCCCAGTCTTTATCTCACTGGCCATATACAGTAGAACCTTAAGTAGCTTAAGTAGAACTTAAGATTGCCTAAACATACGAACTTTCCAACGTACGAAGTGAAATTCGATCAAATATTCAACTCGACACCGGAAGTAAATTTCCTACATACGTATGATGTTGATGTCATAGAAAAAACATAAAATATAAAAATGTGATATGTGAATAAATAAGCTAAGTTAGTTTAAATTTCACGTAGTGAAAGTGAGAGAAAATTACGGTACGTACTGTACCTCTCTTTGCCAGTCTCTAAGGTTAAGTGCCAATAAAAAAAAACTTTTATTGATTATTTCTTTCTAATTAATTTCTTTAACATCTTATATAATGCATTTGTTGTATTGCAATGTGTAATTATCTGAAGTATTTATTGAGGAATTATCATCGATTTTTGGGCTGTGGAACGACCTTTACGAATTACAGTGTATTTTTATAGGAATATTTGAACCATCATACGAATATTCTAACATACGAATTAGGTCCTGGAACTAGTTAAATTAGTATGTAGAGGTTCTACTGTATCTGTTGCAGAACAAGTGCTCATATGTCGACTGGTGGCCTATTTGTAATAACAGGATGGCATCGTGATAACAAGGAATTTTCTTCCACCAGTAAGTGATGGAGTTCCACAAGGTTCTGTGCTTGAACCCATTATTTTCTATTTGTACATGTTTTCATTATTTTACATTATTTATCAGATTTTTAGAATTTGGCCACAATTACTCATTTTAGCATTGTATGCTATCACATGATCTATGTAAATTACTGATTGTAATATACCTTATAGAACAATATTTTTGTGTTAATGTGTCTGGCTGTGACCAAACTGGCACTATTGTGGACGCATATGTGTTATTCCCATTACGGATGACTTGGTTGGACATAACTGTGTTTGCTACTTCAGTAGTAGTGGACTCTGTGTCTATTGACTTTTTAGACCTTTCCTTTCCCTTTGAGGGTTTTCCACTCTCCCTTTGTCCATCTTGGACATTTTCATCCGTCTTAGAACGGTCTTCATGCAAACATGTGGGATGCCTCCGCTTGCACACGTTGCAAACACTTCTCTTCTCGCAGCTCTTTGATTGGTGTCCTGGCCTTAGACATGCAAAACACAACCTCTTTGTCTGCACATACTTAACACGCTCTTTGGCAGGCTTCTCCATTAACTTTCGACATGTCTGAATATCATGGTTTGTTTTCTCACAAAACATGCATCCCTTAGCATCGCCTTTTTGTCCTTCAACATCTGGCCTCTCTTCAGATGCACTCGCTAGCACCTTTACGCCAACATTGTGGACCTTAAATGGCTTTCCTCTTTCAGCATCACCACTCTTCAGAGCATGAAGCAAAGTCATTGGATTGCAAGCTATCTTAGCTTCTCTAGACACAAAGTCAACAAAGGCATGAAAACTCGGAAAGTCATGGTTTTCTTCTTCGTATTCTATTACCTTTCTGTTCCACCTGGCAGTGAGCCAGTCAGGGAGCTTGCTGAGGATTCTTTGATTTTCACTGCAGTGGTTCAGGACTTCCACACTCTTAACGTGACTCATGGCTGCTTGACAGCCTCGCAGGAAGTCTGCAAATTCTCTCAGCTCAATGCTCTCTTTGGGTCCAATCTTTGTCCATGAATTCAGCTTGTCGCGGAAAGCTTTAGCGACCACAAAGGAGTTGCCATATTGGTCTTCTAATATTTCCCATGCTGAATCATAGGCTTTCTCAGTGCCCACCAGGAAATAACTCTGAATTGCTTTCTTTGCAGCTCCTGTGACATACTTGCGGAGGTAGTAAATCTTTTCATTTACTGGAATGTTCTTCCAGCCTATAAGAGTGTATCTCATTAGGTCTCCGCTAAACATTGGCGGCTCTGGCACTGTAAGACGGCTTGTATTTATGGACTCTGCTATTGCTTCAGCAAGCATTGTTGTGCTATTATCGTGAGATGTGGAGCGAGCAACTTGAGAAGTAGGCATTGTGACTTCATGGCTCTTGGTGTGGAGCCTACTGGCAGGCTGTGATGGCATGCTGTACCTTGGAAGGGCGTTAGCTTTAGGTGGAGGCGCTGACAGGTTATGAAGAAGGTCTGATATTTCTTCATCTGAGCTTACGTCTTGTTCGTAGACTTGTAGTCTTGCCTTAGCAGCGTTCATTCTTTTAGTTGCTTCCAAACGCTCTAACGCGCTTCTCCTCTAGCAACTTCTGTCTTTCAGCATTTTCTGCTTCTTGCTGCGCCCGTATTGCCTCTTGTTGCGCTTGTCTTTCAGCGTTCTCTGCCTTTTGCTGCAACAGCTGCCTCCTATCCTCAGCCTCAAGCCTTTCAAGCTCCTTCTCTTGCTCTTCCATTTCTACTAGAGCCTTCAAGGTAGCTTGTGTTGCAGCGGACTCTGCTTCTGCCTCCTGCTTCTTTGAGGAGGACGCGACTGAGCATCTTGAAAAACGTCCAGAGGCTGGGCGGCTAAGCATGGACACTTGATCTTCTTTACATGAAAACACTGAAACAGTGTCACCCCATGGTGCTTGTACAGTGGGTGAATGCTTCTCTGTGTCTTCACCCTGTAGAACATGTAGCCGTTCAATGAGTTGCTTTGATAAAGCATCACAGGTGTCAACCCGACGTCTGGTGTCTGCGACTGGGACACTGTGTTTGCGAATATCCTCATAGCGTTCCTTCACTTCGAGATCAGCAGTATGAACTTGAATTTGGTGTTCATGTAGAACTTCTGTTGATTTGGGTAAGTAGAGTGCCCTCTTAGCCTCTTTGGCAAGAATTTTCCATTTAGCATATGTTTTGTCAAAATTATGTTGAAGTTTCTTTAATTTTGCATTATGCAGTTCCTGACCCTTTTCAGTAAGTTTTCTTCTCCTCTAGTCTTCCTTAATGTCATTGTCTGCATTCACTTCAGTCTCCCTTGCAGAGCCTTCTTGTAAAGGTTCATCATGCACAGACTCCTCTTCTTCTTCATGGGTGACTTCCAGGTCTCGCATTCCCCTTGCAATGTCCCAATCAGTCATTTTAGTGTATTAAGAATTAAATTGAGTTCAAGAAGTTTGAGTAACCTTAAGGAGCCTAGTCCTAATTAGCTAGAATTAAATTGTCTTGTAAATTAAAGTAAGTTTCACCTTTTAAACTTAAAAGCACTGAAAATGGGTCAATACCACAGTATTAAACTAAAGTACTTAAACATTCAAAAATCAAAGGCAACAAATGTTTAGAATATTCAGAAAAGATACCAAATTAAACCTTAGTTACACTTCAAACGTAGCAAGCATTCCTCAATGAAGTATGTGAGTCTTTCAACTTATACTTATGACAAGTGCAATAAGTCCAACTGAACCTTGAAATTCAAAGAGTCCTTTTAGCAGTTGTAGAGGCTATTCCACGTCTTCACATTTAACTTGGCTCAAACGTGCTTCTCGTTGGCATAACCACACAACTCTCTGAGATTACAGGCAGGTTGCATACCGTCCTTTGACGAGTGGCTCCTCCGCAACCTCGAACATCTTCACGGCTCCGACGACGAGAGACGAGCGCGCGCGTAGGCTCCTTGCTAGCTGCTGGTCACACTCTCCCTTTGTGTCGCGGTGGCTGAGTTCTCACTGTAATTCCCTCTCAAGTCGAAATCACGAAACCAAGTTGTTCTTAAAGTTACGGGCCTTTAATCACACAACTGGCTTAATGGTGTGCCGTGATGCCGTGAGAACTGTTAAACATACAAATAAAAGGCGAATAAATACATTGTTTCCGTTGAACGAAACTTCAATGAAAAACGCAACCAACGGTTACATGAGTCATCAAATCCATTACATTAAATATTTACAATCTTACAAGAATAACAATAACAAAACACACGTACCTCATTGGCCGCTTTCCCTTGAGAGAAAATTAAAATTCTTCGGTCCTTCAATGTACTGTGCACTTATTCAAGCTTCTTTTAATGGCGCTAGCTCTTTAGCGGAGGAATTGGCGAGGTGTCTGCCTGCTAGCTTGGTCCAGCATCCTACTGAAAAACAGGTAGTATCTCTCAGAGGTAACACCCCGTCAACGACCGTTGGTTACCCCTTTAAGTAAGACGTGTTTCCATGTGAACGCAAAAAATATACATGAAACATTTGCTTTTAATATTAAACTGGTATCATGTCAAATGAACATATTTATGACATTTTTATTTTTAACCCAATATTTCTCGATTGATTGATTTATTTATTCTGACTTCGATGGCAGCTACATCACCCATACATTGAATTTTCCTAAGAAATAAAGAAGAGACCTTGTGAGGAGTATAGTACAATTATAGAATATTTGGTTTGTAGATTGGATTTACAGTTGTTGTTTTTTTAATTCCATCATACCTTGCCGGTTCTTTGGCTAGCAAGACATTACATGCCAAAGCAGTATCATCAGCACTGTCAAATAAAACCAGCAGAATATTAGGAACAGGTTTGCTGCTCATGGAATCATTACATTCAAGAAAAAAAGTAGTAATTGC